GCATCAATGTACACAGGTACCATTCAATAAAAAAAATATATAATATAAAAAAAAAAAGGTCCCTGCAGTGTGGCCCGCTCTGGAGCACTATTTCTCACTAGATTTTCCTAGCTCTCTTCTCATCTGTACACCGGGTGAGAAATCCCAGCCTCACAGGTGGTGGTGGTGAAGGGTAGGAGGCAAGACCAGAAACAAACCATCCCAAGTGTCTTGTTCCTGGGGACCTGGGGCTCGGAGCCCCCAGGGCTTGAATCTTGGCTGTAGGTCTTGGCTTAGCTCTTTGACAGCACCTCTGATCCACAGTTTCTTCACTTGTTTGGGGGTCTCAGACCACAGCCCATCCCAGGCTCCTGGGGCCCTGGGGAGGGGTGGGCGGTCCTGCCTGAGGAAGACTTGGATTTTGGGTCAGAGCCCAGAACGGCCGGCAGGTGGAGCTGTCAGCCTGTCTGCTCTTAACTGGTGAGCTGGTATAATAGGGGGTGTGAGTGTCCACCACAACAGTGATCTGAGCCTGCAGTGAGTGGAGTGACTGCTCACCTGCCTTGTGTGGAGCAGGGGAGATGGGGGTCGGTTGGGGGGTGGGGATGGAGCAGGAAACGCACCCAACCCTGCAGGCCTTCGCCTCTGTAGTGGTCTTGGCCCCAGGATCCTGGGGTGGAGGATGAGGGTTCTTGCCAGGAGGGGGAATTTGGCCTCATTATTCTGTGGCTGCTCTTTGCGTGATGCTTTGTAACTTTCCATAAACAGTCCCCCTCTGCCTCCAGGACGGAGGGTGGGAAGGAAGAGGGCTGTGATTTCAGAGAAAGCAACCACAGATGTCAGGCAGGAGTGGTGGGCGAGAGAGGTCCAGCCCTGGTCTGGGGGCTCTGATAGCCACCTACTGGGCTCCACCAAGGGCTTCCCTCTCCTACCCTTATACCAAGCGCTGTTCCCTTCTCTCCAGTGAAGACATGCCACTTGGTGACACTGCACAAGAGTGCCCTTTTGCTATTCATGGGAGCTCTCCCACCATTCCACTTAATTCCCCTGATCCTCCACTCTCCGGTCTGTGCAACAAGAATGATGACAATTAGCTGATATGTAGTGAGACCCTGCTACCTGAGGGCTGAGCACAAAGCATGGGGGTCTTGATGAAATGTGGGGTCCAGGACAGGACCAGGTCTGTGTCTCTCTCCAGTGCCCAGAGCACAGATCAGCCCCACGTGGGAGCAAGGCTCCACTCTCACCCTGTTGGACCACCCACTTGCTCACCATGGCTGATTTGGCTGTCCTGTCCCATCTGTCCTAAGTGCCTGCTCTGGTCCCTCCTTTGAACTCAGTTCTATGGCCTTGGGAGATGAGAGGTTGGGGAGGAAGGAGTAGGAGCGGTCTGGCTGTGTGTGCTCCATCCCATGCTGCCCAACACCACCAAGCAGACTAGCAGCTAATTAGTTAGATAGTTAGCTGGTCAGGTGTCTCTGCATTGCCCCTGGTGGGACATGGTCCTCACCAGAGCAGGAACAACCTGCTGCTCTGCTGTCTGTCCTGGCTAGGGAGGCTGTCCTAGTCACCCTGTGGAGGGAGGGTGCCAGGCGCTAGAGGCAGCAGGTCCTGGGTCCCTGCCAGGCAGGCGCCCTAGGACTGGAGCAAGGTGACGGTTCTGGTTTTAGGGGAGTGGCCAGGTGTCCCCTCCCTCTCCTCTTTAACTGTAAATGGGCTCAGGAGCTGAGGAAGAGCCTCCACCCAGGTGGGCCATGTGCAGGAACAGGACTGTTAGGGTGTGGCCCTTGGGGAAGCCCCTTGCTCCCTGGCTGCAAACTTGGAAAACAGGTTTCTCCACCATAGAAGTGGCACTGGGGAAGTGGGTGGCCTGGCCCGGGAGAAGTAGTGAGCTTAGGACATGGACTGCAGAGGCCCAGAGCTGAGCCAGGGAGGGCAGGGCCCAGGCAGCCCCAGGGGGGTTGTCCTCAAAGTCAGGACAGGCCCAGAATGCAAGGGCTTGATCTGAAGCTTGGGTGACCTGGGAGGTGATGATAAGTTATTCTGGGCTCGCAAGCAGGAGGCCCAGGTCTGGGGTTGGGGTTGGGGTCAGCATGTCACTGTGCTGGCTTGGCACAAGTAGGCATGGGTTCCTGCAGGACTGGGGAGACTGACAGAGCAGTGCCAACCTGAGGCTTGGACCTGCTACCATGACTTCAGTGGACCTGGGACAGGGAGTCTGGGCAACTGAGGAGGGAGGGGGCTTGGTCTTTGTGGCTAAGAAACCAAAGCTCAAAGGGGATGTGGCTAGTCCAAGGCAAGCACACAGTGAATCCCAGGTCTGTCTGGCCCCACACCTGGGGTAATCTCTTCATCTGCTGCTGGTGTGGGGAAGGGGTACTTGCCAAGATGCAGTGTTGAGAGGAAATTAGGGGATCCCCGTGTGAGTGTGTGTGCACGTGCGCTGTCAGGCTGGACAGAACTAGCTGATAACTAAGGGTCCACGAAAGAGGAGGTCCCGGAGGACTTCCTGGAGGAGGAGGCTTTGCACTGTGGAAAAGTGAGGGAGGGCTCCATCCATGTGTGAGGTGTGGCCTGTGGACCCATGGGCCTAAGTGATGGGTGGGATGCTGAGGGTGGGTTCCAGCCCAGTTTCCCATGAGGCAGGAGGGAGAGAAGGCCAGTGAGGTCAGGACCCCACATATGGGGTACCCAGGAGGATGAACACAGGACACAGAGGGCCCAAGGGGGAGGCCTGGGCCAGGACCGGCATCTATTTTGGGTGGCCCTGGAAGGTCAGACCGTGTTCTGGGGGCTCTTCACGGGGGCCTTTGCCACACAGCTGCCTTCTAAGGCAGGGCCAAGGCTGCCCCCTCTGCACTCAGGTGTGACTATGAGCAACCCTTATCTTCTCTGGGCCCCAGCTCCCTCATCTGTCAAATGGGAGGATAGAGGCTCACCTTCCCAGTTATGAGAGCTCCCAGGAGGCCAAATGAAAGAAGATTCTGCAGACCCTGCCTGGACTTCCCTCCTAGGAGCAGCTGTTTGAGGGAGGGGGAGCCCCAGCCAGCCCTTGGCACCAATGTGAGAGGTCATTCCTTCATCTGCTCAAGAAAACTTGGGCCTTCTCTAGGAGCCTCTCGAAACCCAGCCACTGCTATGGTATGCTCATCCCTTGTGGGGTGACTTCTGGGCCCTCCAGGGTTTGCTGGAGGGTCAGGTGGTGCAGGCCTCAGGCTATAAGGCAGGCGCTGTGAACTTTAGCAGGGAAAAGCATTTGTCTCTGGAGTGGAAAGAGGGTGGCTCTGTGTCCTGCTCCCTGAACATGTGGCCACTTGGGATTCCCCTTTGGAGCTTGAGGTGTGTGTGAGGTGGGTGGGGCTCTCAGCAGGTGCTCCCAAGACTTCTGCATCTTGGTTTTTGGGAAATGCCACAGTCCTGCTTCATACTGTCACTGCCTCTAATCCTCCTCTGGCAACCTCTGGGCCCCGTCAGGTCCAGGAGCGTAGGATATTTAGTTTTGAAGTTGAGGCCCTGGCTCCATGGAAGGCCCATCGCCTTTCCTCATCTCAGATGCACCCACCAAGTCCTGCTGAGTGGCTTGTGAGGGTGCAAGGTCTGGGGTGGCCAGACCTCTGGTCCCAATCCCACAGGGCATGGCCAAAGTGTGCTCCAGGGCCGACAGATGAAGGTCCTGTGGGAGGGGAGCTGGATCCTGGTGGTCAGGCAAGGAGGGTTCCTGTAGAGAGCTCT